CTGAAATAAAGAAAAAACATTAAAACCTCTCAGGGTGAATTTTTGTCCCTGGAGTTATCTATATGGTAATCTGTTATTCCTTTAACTTGATCAATCTGTTTAACCAAACGCTTTGGTAGCCATCTGGCAGATTTCATTTTCTTAGAGTAAATGCATACAGAACCTCGATGCCAGATGAGGACTGGGTCTGGGCCATGCCAAGAGTTAGCGGATCTTTCCATAGTACTGATGCAAATTGTTTTTGAGTTTCTGTATGCCAAAAATGATTAGCAGCAGATTGCCCATCAGTGTCCTAATTTAAAAAATTGAGGATAAATAAGGCATGAGAGAGAATATTTCTGGGTGACCCCCTCATGGGGTACCATTCCCCCTTTTTTATTTTATTAATGGTGAACTTTAAAGACAGATGTGCTCTCTCTACAATCCCTTGGCCCTGAGGGTTGTAAGGTATACCTGTTATGTGTTGAATATTGAGGCGTTTGCAAAATTGGGAGAAGGCTGAAGTTGTATAGACTGGGCTGTTATAGGTTTTAATTGCTGTGGGCATCCCAGAACTGTAAATGTGGTTAGCATGTGACTGATCACATGTTTTGTGGCTTCACCAGTTTAGAGGGAAGCATAAATGAATCTATGATATTTAAGCAGTTTTTAACAATTTGCCTAGCTTTTTCCCTACCCATTGTAATGATATTGGAAACTGATAATATGGCTCAATGACCTTTTTAGGTGTGGCAGGCAAGTGAATCCACATTAAGGGTGCTGTCTGCCAGAAAGCAGTGGTAGGGGACAGAGCAGTCTTACAAATAATAAACTTTAAAGGTTTAGTTTAATCCATAAAGGTGGTTGCTTGAGAATGGATAGCCTGTTCAACTTTGCGTATAGCCTGTTTTCCTTCCAAGGTAAGTTCACGGGGAGATGTAGGGTTGGCATCTCCCTGCAGTATATCATACAGGGGTTTAAGTTGTTCTTTACTGATTTTTAAATAGGGCATAGCCAATTAATGTCCCATAGCAATTTTTGAAAATTATTTAGGGTTTTAAGCTTGTCAAATTTTAGTTCTAATTTTTGAGAGGTAATTTTCGCATTTGAAAACCAAGGTTTGTATAAGGGTCTGCGAGTTGGACCTTGTCAGGGGCTATTTCCAGGCCTTTGTCTCATAAGGCAATGTGCATCACCTCATAGCATTTTAAAACCTCACTCCCCTCTTTTCCAGCTATGAGGATATCATCCATGTAATGTATAATGTACATATTTGGCCAATCATCTCTAACTGATTGTAACACTGAGGCTACAAAGGTTTGGCATAGGGTAGGGCTATTAGCCATTCCCTGTGGCAGAACACGCCATTGGAATCTTTTCATAGGCAATTTGAAATTTATAGCTGGTAAGCTGAATGCAAATCGCCTCTGATCATCTGGATGCAGAGGAATTGTGAAAAAACAATCCTTTAGATCAACAATGACTTTGAAATAACCCAAAGGTATGGCAACAGGTGAAGGAAGTCCTGGTTGTAAGGCTCCCATTAGTACCATAGTCTTATTTACAGCTCTTAGGTCTTGCAATAGCCACCATTTGCCAGATTTCTGTTTAGTGACAAAAATAGGAGTATTCCAAGGGGAGTTACTAGGGACAATGTGGCCAGTATCAAGCTGCTGCTGTACCAGCTGTTGTGCAGCCATCAGTTTTTCTGCTGTTAGAGGCATTGATCAACCCACACCAGCTCCTCAGATAGCCACAGGATCTTTTCTGCATGGGTCACAGGAGTGTCGAAGGCCCCTATGGAAAATGGCCTAATCCTGCCCTATCAGTCTTTGGGGAAGGCTCTATGGGTTCTGTTATACCCATATTATTTTTTCCCATCCCTTGGACTGGTAGATATCCAGTTTTCAACATTTGGGTAGTAATAACAGCATTCAGGCTTCTCATTATTAATCCTAATTGGAATAAGAGGTCTCTACCCCAAAGATTTATAGGCAATCCAGAAAAAAATCTGCAAAAAGCTCATCAGGTCCTTGTTTAATGTTAGTATAGGAGAAGCTCATGTCTCCCTTGGTGGGCAGTTTTCTCCATGCTCTAGTGCCTGCAGCCTGAAGTTGTGCAAAAAGACTTGCATCAAATTGCATTTGGGCATCACTATTGGCATAATTTCCTTCTCCTATTAGCATATCAAAATTCCATCCATTACCAGGCTGCGCATTGCATTTAGCAATGTCCCTGCAGTTCTCTACATATTCTGATTTCCATAGGAGATAGTCTCTTCCAGCAAGTGTCACTCGGGCTAACGTCTGCCAATACCCACGTGTAAGCCAATTCTTGGCTACTGATTCTAAAAATGCCGTAGTATATGGGGCTGTGGCTCCATATTGTGCTACAGCGGTCTTTAACTCCTTTATTAATTTAAAATCAAACCCACTATGGTGGCGCCAAGCCTGTCCTTGCATGCCCACTGTTACTGTTACTGGAAAAACCTCTATATCATCTAGCTCTGGTGCAAGTTGAATGCAGGGAGGGATTTTGGGGGCAGCTACCCTCATGTGTGGTTTTGAGGCATAATTTTTTCTGAGTGGACTCAGTTTTTTCTTTCTCATTATACATGAGGTCCTCACATTCTTTACTTTCATTTTCATTCCCCCCCTTTTTTTTTTCTTTCTGTAATATACCCTCGCCATTTTATACTACATTGGCAATGAGAGGATCAGAATGTCTCTGAGAAAAATCTCATCTATTAAATGCCAATAAGAAAAAGCAGTTACCGGGACCTTCTTGGGTCCATAAGTCTTATAGAAATCTCTAAGAGCATCACCAACTACTTTCCATTGTTTTTGATCTATAATTCCCTCTGTAGCAAACCAAGGAAAAACTTCTTTAATATAATCAAAATACTGACACAAATGCTTAATTTTCACCTTTACTCCTCATGCCTGGATAGCCTTTTTTAGTCCTTCAACAAACATCTTATCTTGGCTCAATGCTTGACCCATAATCGCCGTTCACTTACCAGCGGGGTGCAGATGCAGCAGGTTCCCACGTCATTCCCTCTTTTCTTTTACTTTCTTTTTTTTTGCTTTCCTTTCTGCCGGCCACTTGAATGGTGTCCTTCACTGGATCCCTCATGCTGGAGCCCCACGTTGGGCGCCACTTGACCCGTCCTGCAGGTTGATCAACGAGGACTCTAGAGGGGGAGTGAGGATGAGGAGGGACAAGAGACATGAGAAATGGAGACAAGACAGGATTCTGATCAAGTCTCCTTTATTCAGTAGTAATTCACACAATATATAGGTCAAGAAGGACCTTTTACCAAGCACCAAGCTTGCCCGAAGCAATTCCAGGAAATACTACAAAAGGAATAAAAGGTCAGTAAAGACTGGCTTGATGAGTAAATGGTTACTTAAATAAATGCAAAATGCAGAGATAAAGAAATGCATAATGCAGAGATATCCTGCCTTGGAGCAGGGGATAGCAGAGCAGATTTTAACAAAATTGGTGCCATGCAAAAAGTCTCCCACAGTATAAGAGAAAACAAGTTTTTTTAATATCTGAAAAAAAATTTATTTGGCAATATATTTAACAAAAAATATACATAAATTATTATCACTTTTCATGAAGTTTTATATAATTAATTCTTACTTATATTGGTCACTTGTCAGTGACTTATAAGTTTATTTCTTAGAGCTTTATACATCTTTATTAAGTATAAATGTATAATCTAAAAGTTTATTGTTAGAAAATTTTGTTTTGAAATAGATTTGATCTTTTTTTATACATTTTTAAAAGATGAAACATATTTCCAAAAGCAGCAATATAAATCTGTAAAGTACAAAACATAAAACAACATAGTCATATATCTGATTATATTAATTGACAAAAAAATATTGCTTTTCTGTAGCATAATATTTAAATTAACAAAACTTACAAATTAGTATTTAAAACTTTGTAGTCTTCTGGATATTTTATATAACCTCCAGCATATAATATTTAATAATAATAATAATACAGTTTATGTAGAAAATATTTAAACCCATATAAAAACCTTTATGAGTTTCTTTGAGTCAAATTGATGACAATTGCAGGCAAGCAAAATCTCAATGTATTAAAAAATTATTTCAGAGAATAGCAGTTTTGCACCTTGTTTTATACATTATGATCAAAAGAGAATATGTAATGATTACATAAAATTTTTCATGACAAATTAGGGAGGTGGGAGAAAGCAAAGTGGAAAAACCTCCTACATAGAATAAAAAGTAAAATGATAGATAGACACATACTTATTTTACATAGGTGTGTGCAGAATAGTTAACTCTTAACAAGTAATATGATAACAATAATAATAAAGCTTTTTGTTCTCTCTGGTGGAGTGATTGTGTCCTGAGGGATTTGAAAACAATAAAATTGCCCTGATATGCTGGCAGAGTGTTATTATAAATGCCAAAGACTGACTTTTGTCAGAAAAGATATTAGACTAGGACATGACTATTCATCATGACTTGCTTTTGATTAAAATATTTTAATTTTACATTATTCTATACACTAACTTCATTTGCAAGGCCACCATGCAGGCCTCTCCTGAGTTTGTCTGGTTTAACATTTGGCCTTTTTATAATTCACACCACAAACACAATAGAAAAATTTCTTAAAATAACCCAAATCTATATTTAGGTTAATAAAATAGTCTTCTGTTAACATTAAACCCCGGAAGTGTCAAACACATGACAAAAATAATCATATACCTTTATAAAAAAATATTAAGTTATTTATTTACCAAAAGTGAAAATAAAGAGATGTCACATAAAAATGCATATCAGAGATTCCAAAATGGTAGTGGAGCAAATGGAAGCTACACAGACCATCTCCCAGGACCAAACTGGAATTATAACAAAAATAAAGACAAGTTGTCAGAAAAAAGCAACAGAACAGCTTGGAGGACCATATAACCAAGCACACAGATCTATTCTGGTAAAATTGCAGAGGCACAGAGAGGGGCTGGGAGCCCACAGATAGCAATGGCCTTAGCTGTAATCAACACCCATGGGTAAAACTCCCAAGGTACTTCACAGCACAGAGCTGGGATGATCACTAAAATAGCCACAGCCACATACCTTGGGCTCTGGCAGAGGAAATGTGGACAGGACATAAACTGTGAGGACACTCGGGATTTGGAGGGTGCTCAGACCTTTAGCTGTGTTGTGGCCACATAGAAAGGTGGTCATCTTACTGCTTCCCAAAACTATGAAGAAAGAGGGTGGCCCTTCCATGGAGATTCAACCCCATCCAGTGGCCAATGATATGCAAATTGATAACCATTAACAACCAGCATCTGCTCTACACTATGGAAATCCCCTTATGCTGACCATCTAAGGGAGATTTTCATTCAATTAAGAAGCCAAGGCTCTTCAAGTAACAGCCACTGATAGCTTCCAAGCAAAATGCTAAAGGATAACTGGACCATTTGTGGGCTATCAACTCTAACCAGAAAAGTAAGACTTGACAGTGGTGTTTAATGTAGGTCCTCCAAGGCTCATCCAAACCCAGGAAAAGAAGCCACAAACAGCAGAACACCAACACCCACAGGGAAAATTTGGCAAACTCCAAAGCCCACTGTGGTAACCAAAATGGTGAAATACAAAACAAATGCAAAATGAAAGAACAAGAAACCCCTACCAAAGATGAAATAAATAAGGTGCAGTTAAGCAAGTTAACAGAAATAAAATTCAGAGTCATGAACTTGAGGAAGTTCAACAGCATGTGTAAGGACATGAGCACCATAAGTAAAGACATAGAAATGTTGAAAATCAACCGGTTGGAAATTAAAAACCACCAAGAAAAAATGAAGGTTGACATATCAGAAATAAAAAACACATTCAAAGATATAAACAACAGAGTAGAGGAAGTGGAGAACCGGATTTGTGAATTACAAAATAGGGTAAAAAAAAATCAACCAATCAGAAAACCTTAAAGAAAAAACTGAAAAAACAGGAAGAGAGGTTAAGAGAACTGTGGGACACCTGGAAACTTAATATTCACATTGTCCCCGAAGAAGACAAAAATGAGCAAGTGTTAGAGAAAATATTTGAAGAAATAGTGACAGAAAACATCCCTAATTTGGTAAAAGAAGAAGGCATTCAAGTTCAAGAAGCACAAGGAGCCCCAAGTAAGAACCCAAACAGGCCCACACTAAGTCACATAGTAATCAAAATGCCAAAAATTAAATACAAAGAAAGAATCCTAAAGCAGCAAGACATAAGCAACAGGTTACCTACAAAAGAACCCTCATGAGGGTCTCAGCTGACCTCTAAGGAGAAACACTATAGGCCAGAAGTAAATAGCATGATGTCATCAAGATCATGAAAAACAAGGATCTGAATCCAAGACTACTCTACCCAGCAAGGCTATAATTCATAATAGAAGGTCAAATAAAAAGCTTCTAAGGCAAAAATAAAATAAAAAGACTAAGGGAATACATTAGCACCAAACCAGCACTGCAAGAAATGTTAGAAGGACTGCTGTAATTAGCAGGAGAAATTGGAAGAAAAATAGAACCACACTAAACAAAAATTGCAATAAAAAAATACATATCAATAATCACCTTAAATGTAAATGAATTGAAAGCTTGCATATAAAGACACAAGTAGATGACTGCATAAGAAAGCATGACTCACATATATGTTGTTTACAAGAAACACACCTCACAACAAAAAGACTCACATAGGTTCAAAGTGAAGAAGTAGAAAAAAATCTTCCAAGCACACAGAAAGAAAAAAAAAAAAAAAGCTGAGGTAGTAATACGCATATCTCATTAAATAAATTTTAAAATGAAGGCTATAACTAGAGACAAAGAAGGTCACTACACAATATTAAAAGGATCTATTCAACAGGAAGATATAACCTTGATAAACATATATACACCCAATATAGGAACACAAAAATTTACTAAAATTTTCTGGAAAAATTTAAAAGAGAAATTGATAGTTATAAAATTATAGCAGGGGACTTCAGCACCCCGCTGGCCACACTGGATAGATCCTCTAGACAAAAAATCAGCAAGAAAACACAGACTCTAAATGAAGTATTAGACCAAATAGATTTAATAGATATTTACAGAGAATTACATACCAAAACAGCAGAAACCACATTCTTCTCAGATACACATGGGACATGCTCAAAGATAGACCACATGTGAGGGCACAAACTAAGTCTCTACAAGTTTAAGAAGACTGAAATCATATTAAGCATCTTCTCAGATCACAATGGCATAAAACTAAAAATCAAGTGCAACAAATACATGCAAAGACATTTGAACACATGGAGGCTAAATAGCATGCTATTAAACAATGAATGGGTTACTGAGGAGATCAAGGAAGAATTTAGAAACTTCCTGAAAACCAATGAAAATGAACACACAACACAAAATAAATGAGATGCAGCAAAAGCAGTTCTGAGGAAAAAGTTCATAGCTCTACAGGCCTACATCAAGAAACAAGAAAAATCTTTAAAAGACTAACCTCAACACTTAAAGAAATAAAAAGCAAACAAAAAGAAAACTCCAGAGCAAATAGAAAGAAGAAAGTAGTAAAGATCAGAGCAGAAATAAATGAGATAGAGTCCAAATAAAAAATTTAAAAGATCAATGAAACAAAGAGATGGTTCTTTGAAAAGATAAACAAGATTGATAGATCCTTATCTAAACTCATTAAGAAACAAAGAGAGCCCTGGCCAGTTTGGCTCAGCGGTTAGAGCATCGGCCTGCCATCTGGAGAGACTCGGGATTGGTTCCCGCTAAGGGCACATACTTCGGTTGCAGTTTGTCCTTGGCCCTGGTTGGTCATGTGGGTGGCAGCAACTTGATGTGTCCCTTTCACGTCGATGTTTCTCTCTCTCTCTCTTCCTTCCTCTCTCTCCCTCCCACTCTATCTGTACAAAAAAAAAATGGAAAAATATCCTCGGGTGAGGATAAAAAAACAACAACAAAAAACAAAGAGAGAGAACCCAAATACACTAAATCGGAAATGAAAGAGGAGAAGTAACAGCTGACACCACAGATATACAAAAGATTGCTAAAAACTACTATGAACAATTATATGGCAACAAATTTGACAATCAAAGTGAAATGGAAAAATTTCTAGAAACACATACTCTCTGAAAACTGGACCACAAAGAGATAGAAATCTTGAACAGACCAATAAAAACTAAGGAAATTAAAGATGTAATCAAGACTATCGCAGCAAACAAAAGTCCAGATGGTTTCAAGGGGGAGTTTTACTGAATATTAACAAAACAAAACAAAAAAAAATCTAACAGCCATTCTTCTCAAACTATTTTAAAATATTCAAGAAGAAGTAAAAGTTCCAAACTTGTTTCATGAGGCCAGCATAATTCTAATTCCAAAACAAGACAAAGAAAGAAAACAACCAATATCTCTGATAAACATAGATGTCAAAATTCTGAACAAAATACTAGCAAATCGAACCCAGCTATACATCAAAAAAATTATTCACCATGACAAAGTTGGATTCATCCCAGGAATGCAAGGTTGGTACAATATTTGCAAATCAATAAATGTGATATACCACATAAATAAAATTAAAAGTAAAAATGACATGATCATATCAATAGATGTCAAAAATGCTTTTGAAAAATCTACCATCCATTTTTTCATAAAAATGCTCAGCAATGTAGAAGTAGAGAGGTCATATCTAGACATAATAAAGGCTATATATGAAAGACCTAAACCAACATCATACTCAATGAACAAAAACTAAAAGCATTTCCCTTAAGAATAGGAGCAAGACGGGGATGCCCACTTTCACCACTCTTATTTAACATAGTACTAAAAGCCTTAGCCACAGCAATAAGACAAAAAAAAAAAGTGATCCAAATTGGAAAGGAGAAAATGAAACTGTCATTATTTGCAGAAGACATGATCCTATACATAGAAAACCTCAAAGACTTCATCAAAAATTTACTAAATAAATTAATTTGGCAAAGTAACGGGATATAAAATTAATGTCAAAAATTGATGGCATTCTTATACACCAATAATGAATTCACAGAAAGAGAACTAAAAAAATAATCCCATTTAACACTGAGGCATAAAAATTAAGATACCTAGGAATGAACTTAACCAAAGAAATAAAGGACCTATTTGCAGAAAACTTCATGTCATTAAAAAAAGAAATAGAGGAAAATATAAAAAAGTGGAAGCACATAACTTGTTCATAGATTGGAAAAATTAACATCATTAAAATGTTTATACTACCAAAAGCAATCTATAGATTCAACACAATCCCCATCAAAATACCAATGACATACAACACAGAACTAGAACAAATATTTCAAAAGTTTATATGGAACCAAAAATGACCACAAATAGCCACAGCAATCTTGAAAAAAAAAGAGCAAAGTAGGAGAAATCACATCACCAGATTTCAGGCTACTCTACAAAGCCACTGTAATAAAAATAGCCTGGTCCTGGCACAAAAACAGACATATAGACCAATGGAACAGAACAGGAAACTGACAAATGGACCCCAGGCAATATGTTCAATTAATATTTGACAAAGGTGCAAGAGCATACATTAGAGTAAAGACAACTTCTTCAATAAATGGTGTTGGGAAAATTGGACAGCTACATGTAAAAAAGTGAAACTAGACCATCAACTTACACCCTACACAAGAATAAACTCAAAATGAATCAAAGACTTAAAGGTAACTCATGAATCCATAAAAATTCTAGAAGAAACTGTAGGCAACATAATTTTGGACAACATACGCAGCAGAATTTTCACCAACACATCACCTAAGGCAACAGAAACATAGGAGAAAATGAATACACAAACTACATCAAATTCAAAAGCTTCTGCACAGCTAAAGATACAATCATCAAAACAGAAAGGCTACCCACTGTATGGGAGAGCATAATTGCCAATGATATATCAGATAAGAGGTAAATTTTTAATATATATAGTGTGCTGATACAACTCAACAAAAGAAAGACTAAGAATCCAATTAAAACATGGGCAGAAAAACTAAATA